AATATAATAAATAAATTTATTATATTAAACAAATATCATATATAATAAAATCAATAATAATATTAATATTATATGCATAATATACAAATATATTATATTATACTATATATTATATATAATATATAAATATCGTATATTATATTATATGTTTTATATAATACAAATATATATTAATAAAATATATAAAATATATTATATTATGTTATATATTTATATTTATATAGTTTGTATATGTTATCAAACACAGTACCTATAACTTTATTAACATTCCAGCAAGTTATCAAACACAGTACCCATAACTTTCTTAACATTCCAGCAAGTTATCAAACACAGTACCCGTAACTTATTTAAACATTCAACTTTTCATAATATTTAAAAACATTAAACTTTCAAGAAGATATCTTTCATAAAAACAAACGCGCTCTATAAAAGGTTATTTTGATGCCCAAATATCATCATATTGATCATCTCAACATCATTATATATGGACATGAGAAAAAAATAGATTTCAAGTTTTGGAAATAGTGCATCTTGTAACATATTTTTTTACTGTCAATTTTCAAGATTTTCAAGTTTTCATATAACTAATCGATCTATACTATTTTTTAAGCTTTAAAATTTATAATTAAAGATGAAAATATATTTTAAGGCTATCACAAAGATTTTCAGCATTGAAACCACATTTCTCGACACTATTTGAAGGTGCGCTTTACCTTGACTATTTAGAGCCTCGGCTCTATACAAACTGCACCTTTTATCAAAATGCACTAAGATATTTTATATTTTGTCAATAAATTTTAATTCAATTTCAAAATACCCATCACAATACAAATGATCATGATTTGGAATAGTTGAAAACAGTTAAAATGTTCACACCGAGCGTTGATAGTATTTTTCCTTTTTAAAATTAAGGGTAATGAATAATTGAGTCAAACTGGCAGCATTGGGCCAGAGCAGTGTTGGCCCAGGTCTTTGGAGGCTCAGCATGGCCATGTGGGGCCAAAGATGCCTTGGCCAATTTCAAATCGAGCTGGGCCTAATAGAAGTTTTCCGTGTGTGACATCTTACTATTGAACTTTTCCTTCAATTTATTGTTATTGCACTGATCGCACAAGACTTCAAAAGTACATATCCACTTTGTCTATCTAGCTATAATTATATGTGTGATATATTCCTCAATCTCATAATTATATTAGACTACCGATCTAATATGTCAAAAATAATATCTTTCAGATACTTATTGGTCATCAATCTTAACTATTTTCTCATTTCTACTCATATTATTATTAAAATTATAGTCCATATATTTTGTTTTAGTTTGGTTAATTTTAAAACCTTTAGGGCCTATTTGGTAACTTGGAACTGGAAGTTATCAAGAAATTAGGATTTTTGGACTTCTAAGGTTGGTTGTTTTGATATATGAAATCAATAAAGACTATGCCTGAAATTCTAGGCAGTCTAGGAACCGTGTTTGATTAACTTGGTAATTTGGAAACCAGGAGACCTAGAAATGAGTCAATTCTAAGTGTTCATTAAAGATCTCGTCATGGTATAATGATATTTGTTTCAAGTTCATACTTTTTAAAATCAATCAACATCCACCATATTTAAAATTAAATGTACAATTTAGATCATGGATAGTAAAGCTTAAAAGGTTAAATTTATGCTTTAAATTATATGTGATTTATTTTATTTAAAATCTTTTTTTTTTTTACCAAAGCCACATGATAATAGCCCAAGTCCTTTCCATACAAGGACCATAATGATTCCATGGTGCCTCTTCTAAACATCTCATTTTACCTCAATTTCAAGTTCTTTTATTTTTCATATGAAAAGTTTGAACATATCCAAGAGAAGTATAAAGTGTATACAACAGGTTTCACCATTTGATCAGTAAGTTTTACCTTTTGCATTTGCTACTCATAATGATTTTTTAGGGCAGAACAAAGCCATTAAAGACAAGAGAAAGGAAATGGTTTACCTTTATAACAAAGTGCCTCGAGTTTTGACATTTTCACAAGATCTAGAAACATTTAAAAACCAAGTCACATACTAGGTTAGGATATAGTTATCTCATGTTCATATTGATATACATAATTATAAATGTATATGTATAATTCTCTTGATAAGATTAAATATTTACTTGGTCATCAAGTTATCATACCATATTTATCTCCATTAATTGTGTGATTGTTCTCCATATACAAATGTACTAATTGATGTAAACATTGATCCAAAATAGTGAAGATGTAGCCGGTTGGGGCTTTGGATCTGTGGACATAAAGCTTCGCCCTGAATCATGCAAATGGTGTGTTCTCTATTCTTCTATCTCCATGTATGCTTCTACGAATTCTAATATGGTATCAGAGCAAGAAAGCTCTCACGAATTCTAATATGGTATCAGAGCAAGAAAGATATGACTGTTGCTGTCACGAATTCACTGGTTCTCCGGATTCCTTAGAAAGCACAGCGCATAAGCCTTCGGTCTTTACACTTTTATATGCATGCCTCTTTATGTATGCAGCCAAATATATTTGAAAAGTTTCTGCCCCGAGGCAAGCCTACAACATGCGAATAACAAATGCACCCTTCATATAGCTTATGGCATCAAATATTTTCTCACTGTAAAGGATTTTCTCTCTCATCACCACCTGTAAAACCCTTTAACCTTCACCATAGTTTTCTCCATTTGCAGACCCACTAAGTTCTCTCCATACCTTAGTATCCCATTAATAGCGACTGCTTCCATGGGTTTGTACCCTTAGTCGCTGCCGGATTTCGGCCAAGGCCAGGGAAATTGATCGATTGGTGATCGGAAAATGACTTCTCAGTCAGGATTTTGCCATAACCATGATGCAATCTTGCTTTCTCCCGCATGACTGAGTGAAGCAGGGGTAGAGAGAGAAAGTGAGGGGGGCCAAAATAGGAAGACGTGCAGTTTGATGATTCCAAATTTTTGCATCAAAAGATGACGAGGAATTGAAAGTAGGGAAATGGAGAGTGGGGTCCATAGGCACTTATC